ATCAGCTTATTTATGGAAAATAAGTTCATATATTAAATATTTTTTTAGCCATTTTATTGCCGGCGTACAGACAGGACAAACTTGCTCCCATGGAACGGCAGCCAGTGCAATTAGTGAGAGGTTGCACAATCCCAGGTGAGGCTCAGCTCGCTGCTGCCTCACCGGCTTCGCTTCTGAGCATTTGAATGGGAAAATGCAAAAATCCAGCGATTTTAAAGAAAAAAATCATCAGATTTGGTTAAGTTAAATGAAAAATAGGTACTTTGTAGTCCAAACCACAAGGTGAAAATAGCAATATAAATTATTTTATGATTATATATTATTTTTGCTTTGCTACACTATCACTATCACTTGATTAACAGGTCAGGAAAAAGGTAATTAAGAAAAAATATGGAGGGAGAGGGAAGTAGTTCAGTTATGCTAGCTTGACTTTGACAACCTTAAGATGTAGATGTGGTGTGGAATTATGTTTGAGTTCAGATAGAAAATAAAAGGTGACTTAAACACCAACTCTGACAGATCATCAGTACAGCAGGTGTTTAATTAGCTAATAGCTGCAGTAGCTAATATACCACATTGATCACTTATTAATAATCACAAAATACACATCAAGCCATAAAAACATAAGACTGTAATGGACTAGATATTCAGATTTTTTTTTGTGGGGATATTATTAGTACTATTATGAAAAAAAAATTAATAATATCAAATTATAATAACTTTGTATTATAATTTAATATTATGTTATTAAATTATAATAACATAAAGTTATAATATAACTTTATGTTATATAATTTTATATAATATTGCTATTGTTTTTTAATCATAATAGTACTATTACTATTATGATTAAAAACAATCAGTGCTTTTTTAATGATAAAAACACTTTTATGATTAAAAAACACATAAATATATATATATATGTATTTATATATAAATACATATTATTTATATATAATAATATATAAATAATATTATTATTATTATTTATATAATATAAATAATAATATCAATATTTATATTATCATAAATATTATTTATAATAAATATATTATTTATATAATATAAATAATACTATAAATATTATTATCATAACTATTATTACAATAATAATACTTAGTATTATTGTAATAATAATTATTGACTCATCTGTCGCTTTTTCAGTGCTCTTGGGTCGTTTGTGCTCTTGGGTCGTTTGTGCTCGACCCAAGAGCACAAACGACCCAAGAGCACTGAAAAAGCGACAAGAGCAGATTCTGATTAGTTGGGAGATCGAACATTGTAGATATTCTCTTCTTTTGCCCTTTTCTGCAGCACACAAGTTAAGGTTTGATAGTCAGGTCTCTTCTTTCCAGAGCAAACGTCCCCAGCCGGGAAAGTTAGCTCTTTTGGAAGATTGGCCAAATCGTTCCCTAGGACAGATCTCTTTTGATGGGTCTGGTCTTCTAATGCCGCTTTCCTCAGAGCTCAAGTTGAGCTTTTGGACGCCTTGTTTTCCTCCTTATCGCTCCAACCCTTCTCAGTCTGTGAACTTTAGGAAGACTGGGGAAATCGTTGTCTTCATCAGCAGTGTCTCTATCTGAGTGATCTGAATGATCAGTCTGTTTGCTATGGCCTGTTGAGCCACCATAAACTGCCCCAGTCGGGGAAGTTTGCTGTTTGTTTTCAGACTGATCTTTCTGAAAACTCCTAGAATTACCTGATGAGACATAGCAAGCTTCCCCAGCGTTTTGCTGTGATGTTTTCTTCACAGTCGGGGAAGATTTGAAGAGATACGCATCAAATTCATCGTACTCATTCTCATCCTTATGGCTGCTGATGTCAAAAGTCACCCCAGGAAGCAGCTTGTTGAAAAGCTTTCTCACTCCTGTTGTTATCAAATAACCTGCTCCAAAAGTAATCGGAAAAAACACGGTCTTGAATGCAAGTTGTTCCATTGTCAAAATACTTGTCCAACACGGTGTTAACGATGAAAGAGATGCTTGGATATAACCTCTTGTTTTGAGATCCAAGCATTCATAACCTTAGATGTTCTTTGATCTTTGTCATACATGAGGTCATAGCTACAATGAGCTCACTGTAGTTCTGGGGGAATGTCTTGCTTCTGATCGCTGCTATGGAAACGGTCAAATCAGTTCTGCATGACTCAAACTATCATTCGAGGCGCCATGACGGACTTCAGAAGGGTATATTTTAGGAGACTAGGGATTAAAACAGGGATCTTAATGGTTAAATATTAAATTTAGATTGACAATAGTATAATAAAACCATTCATTTAAGTTGGACTTTTCATCATTATATCAGGTTTAAAATTTTGAATCATACTTGACTTAAAAATATCTTAAGAGTAAAATCAAATGTAACTTACAGACATTTGCTGCTGCTGCTGTTGTAAATTGTGACAAGAAAATGTGCCTGCTTGGAGAAGAGCTACAAAGAAATAATTTTGGTTTAATAATTTTACATGTTAGCATAGAAATAGAACAAAGAATGATCCCAAAGAAATGATGCTGCCGCTCCATATTTGATGGGTTGTAAACGACCCACTCGAACACATTTGTTCTGTACGGTGCGGAAACGTAAACAATAGACAGAATGTAATGTCTTCCAGCTTTTTCTGTGTAACTGAGAGCTTGACACCAACAGCAGCCCACATTGCTAATAGCCGGGAAGGAGATAAATGAGTCCATTTCTATGCTTTCCTGTAAACTGGTTATGAGTCTGTTGGTTTTTCACTTTTCTTGTATTTTAACTATTAAACCAACTGGTAAACAAATGTTTCTATCTGTTTTGAAAAGAATTGTAGCTTCTCTCTTATGTCTCCATCAGATGAGTAGCAGTAGCAGCTTTTGGTGACATTATTATGAATAATAATTAGATTGTTTTTGAATACGAATCAGGATTTAAAATGATCTGATGAAGATGATCTATGTGTCTAGTCTGGCCTTGGAGTGATGTCTGTGGTTCCCTTCTGGACCTGTTACCCCATCAACCCGATGTGGAAGACTATGTTCAGAATTTAGGTCTCATGGCATCTCAACGTGTCAACATTGCAGCCAGTGGGCTGAGGGAAATACAGCTCCACTTTGTAGCAATTCAAGATATATATATATATATCTATATATATATAGATATATATATAGATAGATAGATAGATTCTTTGTGTGCTTTATACTTTTGTCATAGTACCCCCAAGAATNTCAAACTACTTTCACCCCTGTTTATAGTGGCATTCCTTCTTAGCCATGCCTCTCACAAAATCTCAGAGCTTTAAATATTAAAGTAAAGACAGTGAAATTAACACATGAAAAGGTCCTGCTGTTGGAAGTTCATCTTCTGGGATTAGAGATGATCTGTAACAGTAAAGCACAGGCATATCTAAAGATAAAAGAAGGCATTAAAATGTGCATGAAAAGCCCAATTTTAATTTGGTGTATTCGTGGGTTACCCCCGTTTTTATTTATATATATTTGGAGTACTTAAGTGGTCTGGTGCTGCAGTCACATCAACAGGCAGTGTACAGTCATCGCTCTATTGTCTCCATGTGATTCATAGCTGCATGTCATCAAGGCCTTTCAGAAGAGCTTCTCTATTCATATTCATGAGCCAGACAAGCTTTTTTTTTCTTTCCCCTTCACAGTAGGAGAAAAAGAAAGTGAAACATGAACACATGTCTTGTTTTAACATTTTATTGTGGACAAAGTGTAACAAATAAATAAACGGGTCCTTTGGACTGGTCTTTCTTTTATATATAAAGTGCATCAGTGCTACATCCATGGTCTGCTGCAACACTTCAACTTCCCACCGCAGTGATGATCCATAAAGCTGAACGACGAGCACATCAACTGCAGATGTTGACATTACCGACTGAGCATGCACGCAGCTCCTCAGAGTCCTTTCTGAACGGGAACTGCCAACAGTGCTGTGTAGAGGCAGTGAATAGGAAAAAAAGAAGAAAAAAAATCTGCCACAATGGGCTCAGCTAAAAATAAGCCGTCCTTCAGCTGTTGCCAGGAGAAGCTGGATTTACACTTTTGAGTTCAACCGATTCGCAAAGCCTGGTTGAAGCCGCCGTCCCTCGGCCGCCCCCCAACCCCCATGTCTCTTTGCGCGTCTCTTCCTGAGCAGATAAACTTCCTCCCTGCCATCTGACACCAGACCGCTCTTCTTCAAGAGGGTAGGGCTTCTTTTTTTATTATTTTACCCACTCATCTCACCAGCCTGCCCCTTTCAGTCAGACTGATTCAGGACTTTAAAGAAAGGAGAGTTCACCTCCTGTTTTCTTTCTTTAATCTGCTCACAGTTCTCCTCACACCGAGGTCACAGTCCTGACTTTGGCAGACAGCGCCTGTTTGAAACGCCTCTTCAGATCTTGCATGTTGGGGGACTTTGGTCGGGGGATGAGGGCCGAGCGCCTCTTCTCCGTGGCGCCGCTGGCAGACGGAGGCGGCGTCGGCTGCGGCTGCTTGGCGAGCTGGCAGCACAGTCTGTGGAAGGCGCCGTGCACCTGGTTGTAGTCCTCGCTGGCAGAGACCTCGTAGAAGGAGCAGCCCAGAGTCCCTGCCAGCAAGGGGCCCTGCTGGGAGTCAACACGCCTCAGGTGCAGCAAGTCGGCCTTGTTGGCGAGCAGGATCACTGGGGGCGCGCCGGCACCACCGCTACGGACCACCAGCTGGTGCAGCTGGTTGATCAGCTCAAAGCTCCGCCGGTCGGTCACCGAGTACACCAGCACCACGGCGTCTGCCCACTGAATGGAGCAGCTCACGTGGTCGGGGAGACTGATGCCATTATCAGTCATCTGAGAACAAACAGAAGAGACAAAATGATTAGATCACACGCCTTCCTCTGGGGGGTCAAAAGTTCTCAACTTCTATAATAACAGGAATGCTGACTCCAGGAGAGAGGTGTGGGTGACTGCGGAAACTGCTGGATTTGGATCAGGGTATCATTTACAGCCGCCCCAGTCAGCCATTACCCTAAATGGTAGATTACACAGCCCAAAATGAGGGGCTTGAAATCTGCAGCATGTTTGGTTAAAGAACTGAACCCCAGTACAAACTAACATCCAGAAAGTGAACGGCCGTCTTCTTAAAGTCAGATTTAAATGATTAATGTCTCGTTTCTTCTCGTGGTAGTTTTAAATATTTTTATAATGTTTTTACTCTTAGCGGCTGCATGCATGCCAGCAACAGACGACCTCATAATTTCCTCTGGGCTGATAAAGTACCGACACATCAGAGATGTGTTTGTGTGTGAGGACCCACCTCTGCACCTGGCGTGTCCTGGACCTGGATGGTCACCTGATCTCCATCCACCTGGACTTCTCTGGAGTACAGATTACCTGCGCGCGCGCACAAAAAAAAAAGAGGTGAAAATTAGTTTGGAAAGTTTTTCCCCATTTATTTTCTCAAACTGTTTTTTTTTTTGTTTTTTTTTTAAGCTTACCTGCATTTCGTTCATAGTCTCCGATGAACCGTCTCGTTAAGAATCTCACCACGAGCGCTATAAACAAACAAAAGTGACAAAATATATTAGACTTGAATTCATTACTACTATAAACTCCTACATTATTGCTACGCATGCGCTTTATTGGCCGTCTTACCTGTCTTCCCCACTCCGCTGCCTCCGATAACAGCTATTTTGATGACCCGGTTCAGGACGGAGTATTCAGGCGCGGTACACTCCGCAATAGTCGACATGTTCTGAATGAGCCGCATTGTTCTTCCCGGTGGTTAAATTCCGACAAGAATAGAGGGGGGGGGGGGGGAAAAATATCCAAAAAATAAAAAATAGGTTCAAACTCGTTTAGGAGTTGTAGTAGGTGAAGATATTCCAGTGTCCCTGCTGAGGAGACGGAGTGAATGTTAATGCTCGGAGAGCAGAAAGCGTCTGCGGAGGAGCCGCTCGCTGCTTTTAAGGCTCCTCGCTGCCGCTCGCTTCTGATTGGCTGCTCCCCATGCCCCCGTGTGCTCGTGCTTTCTCCGCCCACACGTGGATAAACAAGTCGATTTCTGAGGAAGAGCTGCTCCTGCAACAGGTGGGAGCCAACAAAACAGGCTTTCACAGGGGCTTGAAGACTGCTGATATTGCCCCAGTATGCTGCACGCAACACAAACACCCGATTCGCAGCCTGGTGGGATAGGTGGTGTTTTTTTCTCGTGTACAGTGATGTGACCTCTCGTGGAAATACACTGGCTCTGAGGAAAAATATGTTTCAGATACTATCAGCCAAGAGATGCACCGATCAGAAATTTGTGGCCAATTACAAATCTCTCTCTTTTTTTGCAAAGTTTTGACCTGCTGATTCAGGTCAACTAAAATAATCACATTATTCCTTTAACAGGAGCATGAACTTTGTTCGTCTCAGTTTTTGTCTAAACAAATTGTCTCTCATGGATCCATCACAATAGAAGATGGCAGAATGTCGATTTTAGACTTTAACTAGCTAATCTAATCATAGTCACACCTACATCTTGTAAGAATTGAGAGAATGATGAAAAGAAATTGAGTCTGATTACAAATATATTTAACAGCCTTATCTTAACTCTATCGTTATGAAGAAAGAATGGAAGTAAGAATATTCGGTATCGACCTCGTTTATTTTTTATATACATTTAAGTAGTTGAAAGTAGAGGTGCACCAATTTGTCAGGGCCGATTTCCTTCATTTTGGGGAGATCGGCTGATACATGTGAAGCCGATCCCATCTACCTCAGTGAAGATCTAAAATCAGCCAGTGTTCCCTCCTGCTCTCCCTTGACAAAATCTCCCAATCAGCAGCAGCCGAATAAATCAATTGTTACTGATCAAAGAACAATTAACTACATTACTTACTTTTAAATCTTAAATCAGGTTTGATCTGCTGGTAACAGTGCTGTTAATCCTTTCCAGAAGCTGTTGAAGCCCAAGCACAATCCAGATAAACCTACTCCTTCTCTGTTCACTTTTGCTCGAGAAAATGAATTGAGCACAATGCCTGTGATGCTTTCAGCGGCCGCTTTAAATAAAAGATTCTTCAGCTCAGGGCGGCACCCAGAAATGAATCCTCAGGTGTCTATGGTTCAATTCCCAACCCTGGGATCTTTTCTGCACGTCTTTCCCCTCTTCTTTCTCTCGTACCTGATTGCTCTGAATAAAGGTCATTAGAACGGGAGGAATCTTGTTTAACTTTGGACCAGATAAAGTCAAAAGTTTTATTTGATTATAGGAACAGACAAAGTTATGTTCTGATATGTGAGTGACTCACGGGGATGCGTCCACGGGTTTTGAAACGGTCAATACAGGATTTGTTTCTCTAATAAACTCCAAACAACTTACTAGAAAAATATAGCTTGATGATTATTTATGATTAGCTGCCAAAACAAGCTGCTTTATTGCAACTAAAGTTACCAGAAAATGCTAGAACAATCGATTCTTCAGCTGCAACACCAGGAATAAGAGATAAGATGTAAGAACCACATTAAACATCATTTCTATCTACCTTCCCAGATGTGACTTGTTATTAAATGTTTTTGACATTAGCAAACGTGATGTCACGAAGTGTGTGAGAAAACTGGTTGAAGCTTCGACAGTAATGCTCGTTTCATCTCAAACTGAAAGCTTTGAACATTTTCTGCACTGCGCCGTTCTCTTTTCATGATGAAGTATTCACCAATGTGATCTAACAATTCATTTTTTTAGGAGCTCATTCATTCATATGTACTTTATAATTAATTAATACCAAAACCTGTTGCTTGTGTCACAGTTTGACAGAAGGTAAACCTTCAGCTCAACTCTGACATTTCCAAGATTCACGTTGAAAGTTCAAAAGGATAAAACTGAACAACTTTCATACTGAAACACTTAACTGATACTAAAAAGTAGCTATCTTTGAGTCATCTTCCCTCAGTACAAACATCAACACCAAAGAGTGTTTTTGTTACCACCACATGGAATTCCCCCAGATCATCAGGCGATCTTTGAGCTCCATCAACAGCAGGTATAAATTTCAGATATGGCCACAATTATTGTTTGTATCCCTAAAATTCAGCAAATTGTTTTATATAATCTAACTATGGACATTGTATATTGTTTGTGTCACCATTGTAGACACGCATGTTTTTCTCCAGGTCCAGCATTTTGAATTCAGTTTTTCAGTGCTGGGTGTCAGCAGGTGACTTGTTCGGGCATGTCCCTTGATTTGTCCTCACAGGGGGTTGAAGACTGCTGATGTTGCCCCAGTACGCTGCACGCAACACAAACAGCAATACCTTAAGAGAAGTCAGGCAAACAATTATGTTGCTTGGCATTAATAGGAAGATTTGAGAGGCAATTCGGGAGTAATGCTGTCTTTCCATAAGCTTATTGCTAAGTAAGGTATTTCTGTGATTTGCAAATACTTTCAGCAGCTAAGGAAGGGATGTCGTCGTTTTCTCCCACTTTCTTTTTCCTCCTCTGCCCCATTAACCCCAAAAGCCTCCTCCCTTTTTCCTCCCCACTGTCTTTCATTTGCGCTGAGGTATTTTGGCATCCAGTCCTCCTGTGATTATGGTCTGGTATGTATTTTTGATAAGGGCGCTGATGACAGGCGGCGGTGCTGAAATATGAAATTAGTGCCCAGTGTTCAGGAGAAGCCATGGCTGCAGGGTGGTGCACCCACGCAGATATCCCTCTGACCACATCACAGCCAGCTCCACCCCGGCGGTTCTGGGTGGCGAGGCCTGCTCTCTTGTTAATGGCGAATAAACACATTCTTGCATTTGATGACACGTCGGATTCCCTGCGGTTCGCCCGCAGCACAAGGCAGGATCGGGCCTCTGTTGTTAAATGACTGATGTGAATGAGGGTGTCACAGCTTCAGTATTTTTGTGACAGAAAGATTAAAGGCGCTACGATCATTCCCTCCTCTTGCAGCCAGGCGAGAAGGCTAATGATGGCAGATGATAAAGGGGAAGGAGGTATCTTCTTGGAGGGCAGCAGACTTACTCACACACAGAGGTCAGAGGAGTTGCTGGTCAACACAGTGACTCAAACAACCAATTTGGTGACACATGCCAAATGTCCGATGAACATGATAGTGGGTCCCATAAACTCCCACTCTTCCACAAGGCTGTGCCTTCAGGCTGGTGTGGCCTCCGCTGGCAGTGAGATACGCCTGCAAGGATCTTTGTAATGTCTTTGAGCAATGACCACTACAGTAGAAACTAGGGAGGGTTGCGACTTACACAGAGGTGGCATGTCATGGTTCAGACAATTCAGGATCTTTCTTTAGCTGGCATTTTAACAGAATACCGTCAGTGTTTTCCAGGAATGTACAGGTTTTTATTTCTGACTTTATTCTACTACGGCCTTATCTACCTATACACCTTTACATCCTACATGCCATTCAATTGTCTTACCAACCTATCTATGGTCCTCCCTACAATCGTACCTACTATCCATCAAGCCCAGTCCATCCATCATGGCAATTGTCCTTCCTTGTCTGTTCCCCATTTAAAACTGCTCTATCTTTAATAGATTTGTAGTGAAATTTTCCCAGCAAATTGCCACAAGAGGGTTGTGAAGCTCAGCCTCAAAGTGGATGAAAATGTAGCATTTTTAGTGTCGTAGTTCAGCCATTTTCCCTTCTGTGCAGCACCCAGGTTCATTTATCAGTTCAAAAAGCCCTCAGTGTAAATTACCTTGAGAAATAACAAGATTTGGTTAAGTATAAAACAGGCTTTTAATGCTGAAAATGATCGAATGTTACAAGCCTTGCAAGTCATACAAATGGAACAGACACATAGTGACATTCACCGTCCAGGGCTGGGCTTTTTTTTTTTTTTATGTGTGTGAGGGCTGGTTACCTGGGCTGGCCTCACCTTCTGCAGCGAAGCTGAAAATAAAGCATGCAATCACCACTTGCCCCAAAGGCTTAAACCTGCAACAAGAGGGTCATTTGGGATATCAGTGAAGCAAGACGCAGCTTAAAGACTTCCCCAGGGTAAACATCAGCAACTGTCATGTGTTCATCAGATTCTTATCATCACCCTCCCTGCCTTTAATCTTTGTCAGCAAAGGTGATTATTTGGATCCGGATATTTTCACAGAACCTTCCCATTACATTTTGATTACCTCAAAGTCGCGCACAATTGGGGAGAAAAAAAAAAGCGTCTGGTTTGTGTTTAATCCTGTTGTCTTTCCTGACTCTGCTGCAGATATCCACACATCTGTTCTCATGGAACAACCCATCTCTAACATGTTTACATACATGGTACATTTGCATCTCCACTAGCCAAATGGAAATGGGATTGGCCTGCCAGCACAAGCAGCTCAGACCCATGCAAAGGAAGAGAGGTTGTTTTTGTCTTATTGAAATGTAAACCTTCCAGCATCCCCAAGCATTTGCATGCTTCTGAATGCTCACAGCACTTGGGGGGTGGGGGGAGGCCGCAGTGGTTTTAGCTGCTTGTGTGTGCTGCGGTGCGGGTTTTGGATGACAATGGTCCCCCCCCCCCAACTTCGTTCAGATCACATGCCCTCCAAGCTTTATGACTAGAGTTTGCCATTTACCCCACTTAGACGAGTCGATTGGAAATATTTAAACCGTTATGCAGCTTTACAGATGTTTGCATTCCATGGCTTGTCCCTCCCATCACACTAGATAGTTGGGTTCTTCTCGTTTCTGTTGACTGTAGCGCTCACACGCAGGTGCCCACTCTGCGTCTGTGCTGACATGTTGAGTCGGTGCGTTAAGAAGAGAGAGAGAAGCAGCGTCGGGTTTTGCAGTAATAACGTAGGATAAGCGTGTTTTGGTCTGCCGCTCATGTGACTGTAGCCATGTGTATTTAAAGTAAGACCTTAAACTCCGGGATTATCCTGTTGTTGCTGATTCAGGGATTTTTTCTTCCTTCTGTTTTTGTTTGATGGACCCAGATTTAGAACTTGCGCTTCGTGACTACACGTTTGGCGTGTTTTCCAAACGTAAACACAATTATGCCGCAGCCGTAGCTGCAGAAGACGCATTGCAACACAATGAGGACAGGCAGGAGTGATTCACTTTTTCTTTTTTTTTTTCCTTTTTTTGTGCAGCACCATCAACAGATTTTTTGCAGAACCCCCGACTTTAATCGGATCATGTTCACAAATCCAAGATATACAGAACCTTGCAAAAGGAGTCGCACTCTTGGCTTTCCTTCAGCCGTGTTGTGTTGTTGCTGCCGTCATCACCATGTTTCATGTTTGCTTTGGGATTGTGACTTGAATAGTGCTTTAAATTTCCACATGATTTTTTTTTGTCCTTGGTCTCCATGGCAATATTTGTTCTCTAATATTCTCTAACAAACCTCTGAGGTCTTTACCAACCACCTGCATTTATCTTGAGATGAAATGATGAACTCTTTTTAGTAATTTGGTGTTTTTTCAAGCCTGCTGTTATCCCTAGGTTTTATTCAGGACTTCCAGATTAAAGAGGAGCACTAAGAACAAAAACATGCCACACATTTCAGATTTTTATTTGTAAAAATATTTTCTAGCTCATGTATCATTTCCCCCTTCCATCACAATTATGCAAACATTTAAATTTGTTGCTTAAATAGTGTCCCAATAAAACTTTTCAAGTTTTGTACTTCTTCTCTTTGCACATATGAGTCTGCACATATCTTTCACATTATTCCCTGTGTCATTATTGCAACAAGCATTTTTATGACACACAGTCTTACTGCAGAGTGATCCATGGGAGCTGGGGACAGAGACCGCCCTGACAGACATTACAGAGTCCCACAGTGAGGCAGAAAGGGACACTCTGGACGGATTGCGTTGGGACACAGCGTTCGTTGGTTGGGATTTACGACTCATTTCAGGGAATCTGTCGGTCGTTCAGACTTTCCCCTCCCCAGGGATACGTCTCTGCGTCTCATGCCGTTTTTACTGCCCAGTCTGAGGCGGGCTGGTATGGATCCTGCTGGAAGCATGTCCAGGTCCAGAGAACAGCCTCTGTGGTGCTTTCACTGGGACAGATGGTGTCCCAGAGGGACAGTCTGGACTTTAGATCTGTTTAATTGCCAAAGCCAGAGCACTTCACATATATCGGTGCTTAGACAAACACTGCCACCGGAGGTTTACATGCTGATGTAGCATGCATTTGTATTCTCCTCCGTTCTTCTGAGTCAATACTTTGCATAGCTACATTTTGCTATGCGAGAGGACACATTACTTTAACATGTCCCTATGATGCTGGGTTGAACTCAGAGACCTTCAAAGCTTGGGTTATTGCAGGTAATTCCTGCTTCAAATCTCTCCACAACTCTCCCCTCCATCTCTGCCACATTTTTTAAGAATTTGATTTAAAAAACCAGCATGCTCTATACTTTCCAGGTCACAATTATGCGTCGCTTTGTGACGATCTAATGCGTAAAGCTTTCATAAAATGCATCATCGTGGCTGTAAGATGCCGGTGTGTAAAAACGTAGTGCACAGGAACGCTTTTGAAAGGCACTGTAATGTGATGAGAAATGCCTCACCTTTATGTGCAGCAGAGTCAACACGATGCTCCGTCTTCCCCTCCAGTGAGTTCGGTGCAGCTCTTATCACAAGCGTCAGCGGGAAGGTGTGACCCGTTCTGCTCACTGCCACAAACGTAACAAGAAAATAGGAACAATGTTTGAGTGACCTGCTTCAAGTAAGGATTCCATGACAGGAGGGCATAAAAAAAACCAAACAAAGCCATTAAAAATATTTCATCTGGTCATGTTGTTTCTTTCACACGTTTTGGTCCATCAGCTGGCATTATTATCCCCCGCCTCGTAACTTTTAATGACCTGGCTTTCGTCATGTGCCTGTCGTCTCCGGTCTTTGTCTGTCAGGACCGAATTAAATCCTGTGTTGAGACTGACATGCAGGCTTGCCGCTGTCACTCCCACCTGCAGGAAGAATGGACCCAAATGCAGGTGGATTAGGACACCTGCAGACACAAAACTGCTGGCTTAAATGTGCAAAAAAAAAAAAGTGGAAAAACAGGAAGAAAGGGGATTTGAACAGCAGATGGGTGGAGAAGAGGAGTCTTAATGCAACAAGATAGCGGTGTTTAGTTGAGCTCCTGCGGTCTGATGCCAAGTTTGGATGGATAATGGTATCTCCTGGTGAATGGACTGAGAAGAGAGGCTTTTAAACAACCCTTACACCTTGATGTGTAATGTTGAATAATTGTCCAGTTTAGGAAAAAGGTCAAATAAATGTAGAAAGATGTTTTTTTTTTATCACAGCACTTCTTTAAAAGGATTCAAGGCACACCATCTCTGTCATTAAACACTCATTTTTAATACTGTTAGATCCAAAAGCTCATATTTTTGACTTAACTTAAATTTTGTCTAAACTGGAAATAATCAAATTCATCCATGTATTATCAAAGCAAGGGACTAAAATTAGGAAGTAAGATGAAAACTTCTAGAACATTAGTGTGCACACAGTTAGCTGTTACCCATAGAAAACCTGTCACAGGTCAAGTTTTCTAATCGTAATTTCAATCAAAACAGGAAACAATAAATAAGCAGTGGGTCTTAAACGCTCACCGGCAGCCCGGTCATTTGCCATCCTCTCTGTGTCCAGACTTGCTAATGAACTGCACAGGGGCAAAGCTGCACCAGCAGCATTTAAGCACAATATTTTGGGGGCTAAAGCAAGCAGCTGCATTTCTCTCTCTCTTTTTGGTCTATTTATATTGCAAATGTGGGTTGGACACAAAAAATGTACGCAAAATCTGTTTTAGTGTGACTTCTTCCGAGGTTTCCCCCAGAAAACTTGCTAAGCCCAGTGGTTGGGCGCCAAGGCCGTCATTCATCCAGCGGCCCGTTGTGTCATTTTGAGTCCGTCCATGTTGCCCACTGCGTGTTCAGTTAAGTGCCAGGATGCAGCAGATTTCTCTACATGAATTTAGTGACATAATGACTCGGCGCACAATGTGCGGCGCTTCCCTCCGTCCTTGATTTAAAAAATGCTTTAAGTTGACAGGAAATTTGAAAACATCACTTTATAATTATGTGTTATTGAAAGATTGGAAGATTAATACCTGAACCCCAACTATAAAGTCTTAAAAAAACAAAAATTAAAAAAAAAAAAATCTTAAATAAATAAGTAATGCTTAACCTGGTGGGGGCACAAGTAAAGCCTGGTGGCCCGCCAGGCTTATAAGAGACTGGGGGAAACCCCGTCTTCTGATTTAGTGGACCTGAGCGTCGTCTGGCCATTGGCCATTCAGTTTGTGTTGGCCACGCTTCCCCACGTCAACAGTCGGCTCTTCTCTCTTCGCAGTGGAGGATGGCTGTTTACAGTGCAGGCAATTTCCGGTAAGCTTCATAGCCTCAAACTGGTGCATCACATGCTTCACACGCAAACGTTAGCAACTGGGTACAACTTAAAACTTCCAACAGAGTCCGTGCCTCCAGGAAGCAATCGTCGTTTCTCAATAGCGGAGTCCAAATCCTCTGAATGAAGTGAAGCGTAGAACAAGGGGCTGGTTTTTACCAAGCTACACCAAACACACCACAGGGTTAAAAATGAAACCATTCTGTTCTCCAAGTGCAAGAAAGATGGGGCATCAAACTCAATAAGTAATTCAGTGACAAATAATGAATGTTATGCTATTGAGTAAAAGGAGGAAACTTTTTTTGTTCCCCAGCAGCTTCAACCTTCACACCTGAACTCAGGTAACGCTGCCTGGTCCCTGCTAAGCTCATCGGTCATGATTTCATCTTCATCACCTTCAGTCGAGCAGGATCTACTCCGAAGCAGCTGGAAAAGCCTCCTCCCATGTCACAGACTCTACGCCGTCTCTGGCAGGTCCCACTTCCATTCATGTGCAGCCGCACACCTACGCCGACGCTCTCGCTGTGGCGGATCCGCAGTAATTATCCTGCCAGCTCAGAGATGTCGCACACACACACACACACACACAAAACATAAAGCTTTTGCCTGTGAACGTCTGCGAGTGATTCAGAGGCAGACGGAGAACGTGTGGGTGACTGAGTTGTAAGAGAGCTTGAGAGAAAACGGAAAGTGTTGTTGCGTTAATCAATGTGCGCCTTAACAGAAAGTGTTACTGGAAAAGCAGATTGTGTGAATCTGGCCAAGAGTTTGCATCTGAAGGGTTTATAGTTTTCTTCTGACTTTGCCGTTTTCTGTTTAAATAAACCAAACTTTCACAAAGATACTGCAGAGTTGGTGTGTCTCCACAACGCTGGTTCCAGCTCATGAGGACTCATGTCTCCTCCCCTGTTTATCCCGGCTTTCCCGCAAAATCCACGGATGTCGGTCAGGATCATTGCGCTGCACGCAGCGCAGTGACATGACTTGGGGTCATTAGGAGGCCGAAGACGAGAAGGGCAGAAGAGGAGAGACGAGCCAAACCGCTGAGGGCGATAATAGAGGATATGCGTTAGAAATCTCGAACAGTACATTCTGTTCCCTATGTACAAGGAGGATAGGCTTGCGTCAGGAGGACGGAGGGAAGCGCCGCACATTGTGCGCCGAGTCATTATGTCACTAAATTCATGTAGAGAAATCTGCTGCATCCTGGCACTTAACTGAACACGCAGTGGGCAACATGGACGGACTCAAAATGACACTAAAAGGGAACATATTGTGAGAACATAACTTTCTTAGCCTCGGTCCATCACAGAGACACACACTCTCTCTCTCTCTCTCTCTCTTTCACACACACACACTCACTCATACCTGAGGACAATTTAGAGACCAATTAATCATTTGTAATGAGTTTCCATTACAAATGTGCGCAAAACTATGTTGATATGCCGCTAATATAAAATAAAATAAAAACAACTTTGCAATTACAGTGTTTCCATTAAACAATAAGTCTGTTCACGGCATAAATTGCTAGCATTCATCCTCCTACCACTTCCTGTCGTTTTCTTCGTCTTTTCTCACCGGTGGTAACATCCGGTTGTTTATCACACTCGCATAATGCGAAAAAAAGTTTCCATTGCAGTTTTTCGAAGTAATTAAGACACAACTGAAAAACCACTTAATCCTAGTGCAAAAAAATATTTTTTGAAAAAAAAAAAAAAAAAAAAAAAAACTTGAGGTTGCCATGACGTTGGCTGTGGTGATGATGGACTCAAATGTAGCAGGCGGAGGCGCCGAAATTGATGAATATTTAATTTTAAAAAAGAGAGAGAAAATGAACTAAACTTACAAAAAAACCACTGAGAGCCACAGCAGAACAAACAAATAAACCCAAGGGAAAAGATGGCAGGATACTGACAGGATAGTAACGGGATTTACCAAGGAGTGACTGAGAATAGGTTGTAATGAGGCGCTTGATTAAAGATGGCTGATTAGATTAGAAACGAGCTGCAGGTGTGAGGGGAGAGAGAGAGAAAGATAGAGAGAGATAGAGAGAGAGAGAGAGAGAGAGAGCAAGCAAGCAGAGAAGAAGAGTACATAAACAGGGAAACTAGAAAAATTAATCAAACAGAATCAGTATGAATAACTTAAGGTAAAAACAGAAACAATGCTGATCTAATCAAAGAAAGAAGCTTAAAAAAAACACAGAATAATAATGAAACTAGAATCAATAAATCAAACCCCAAAACAACCCAGGACCTGACATAAGTTTTTTTATATATATTTTTTTTTTTTTATTGGAATGCTTCCATTTAGCAAATTTGTTTTTTGACATTCCAGTTGGCATTTTGATGTAATTCAGTCAAAAAATGAAGAATATGATTCCTCTGTGATATTTATGTTGAGAATGTGTCAGGAACTAAAAAAGCTGAATTAGAACTGTCATATTACGCCAATTAAAGAAAAGAGCTCTGCAGAAAATCCACGCAGAATTGCTTTGCTTCTGTATTGATAGTGCATTAACAATAAAAAAAAATTAAAACAGGTTTAAGAATTCACTTTCACAGAATTATGCAACACATTCACCCAGCTTGACGCAGGAGAGAAATTCAAGGTGAGGGCAGTGACACATCTCTAAAGAAAGTTTTTAGCTTTCTGATGTGAAAAAAATGAGACTCCTTTGTCATGTTTTGCAGCAGCTGCGTCAACAGCCGAAAGAATAAGAGATTCCTCCACATCAAGGCTTAATCCAACCCCCCCCCCCCCCACACACACACACACAAAAAGATCATAATATGAAAGTTTCTACAAAGTCAGAATTTCGTAATCAGAGACCTTAGCTGAACGAGAAGGAAACCTGAAGTGCCGATTCTCAAGACTCTAACTTTGACTCCAGCATTTGTGTGATTTTTATTTTTATTGTTTTCTAAACTGTTTGGCATCCCAGTCCGTGTTTTATAGAGGTAAGTAAAAGCTGCAGTGAAATTCACCCAGCAGAACAGAACTCCCAATCTCCCAGCACACCTGGCAGGATGAATTTCTGCGCTTCACAGCACTGGAAAGTGGGTCAAGCTCCAGCGCTTTCTGCAGCCATCTCATCTCGCTGCAGACATTCGCTGATACAAGCAGATCTATTGTTGTATTGACTGCAATCAGGATGAAACGCCGCTGCGCCTCCCTCCAGGGAAGGGGGCAATGCGAGGAATCTGAAGCTCCTGGAGAGATGTGGAAAATATGTGGGGGATTTAAAGAATCTAGTGGAGGAATTTGTTTGTCCCCTTGAACTTTTCCAGGTTCTGTCCTCCTAAAAATGACGATGACTTTAATAGATTTCAGTCGACGGAATGGCTCCTTTTGCAGTTTGAGTACGGCAAGCATGTCGAAGCAGCATTTGGTCAGATGAGACCAGAACTGAACTTTGTGGCCTACTTGTGTAACCCTAATCTAACGCTCCACACGTCATCTCCAGGTTAAAACATGGTGGAGGCAAGGTGATGCTGCGCTTTTCATCAGCGGCGAAGGCATATTTGTCAGAGTCGATCAGAGAATGGCTGGAGTCCAGTAGAGGACAGTGCTGGAAGACGACCTGGTGGGGACGAGACTGAGGTTTACCTCCTACCAGGACTCTTAGCATGCAGCTTCATACAGTAGAATATTTTGGATCAAAGCATGTCGCTGAAAGAAAGGACCTAGTCAAAGTTCAGACCTAAAGCTGACTGAGAATCTATGATTCACAGAGGTAGGGAGATAGGCAGGCTACGCTAGCTGCCTAGCGGATGGATAATTTATTGACCCCGTTGGGGTAATTTGTCCTGGACAACTGGTTCTACAGAAAGCTGTCACCATAATTACAACAGTGGCAGCTAGGGGTGCACCGATCTCAGTTTTCTGGCCGATCACTGATTACCAATCTTTTAAGAAGAAATTAAGGAAAGTGGCAGCAATAAATCGATGCACCTCCTGGTGCAGAAGTAACGCACAAATCCGGTTCGCCCACAGAGCAGCGCCAGTGGAAGCTGAGTTGCGCTACTTTGTGTTGGTCAACCAACCAAAATGACAATAAAATGCGACAGGTTTTGAGTCTGTATTGTGATGAAATCTTCATTTCTGCAAGACTCTGTGTGGTAGACTGGCATGTACTGTATTGTATGTTCAATAAGTAGCGTTTCTGATATCTGCCTGGACTTATTGACTAAAACCTCGTGTGCCTGGAACAATCCACACGTCTTCCTAATGCTTACATAATCTTTTAACTTGTCTTTTTACTGTTTCTCACCCAGAATTGTTCCAGATTTCATCTCGCGTGTCTTTGTTCAGCTGGGTGCTACGCATTAATCAGATTGCACTGAGCAATTCCCATGTTAATAAACAGTCGTATTAATGCGTGTAACTGAAGAAGCAGCCGGTTTGAAGGACGTTCTGTGTTGGCCAGCCTCCTGCTCTCTGCTTTGCTCGGTGAGAACAATGCTACTATTGACGTCGCAGCTTCGCTGGAATCAGGTGGTTGTGAGGCAGAAAGGTGGACTTGGAGACGGCAGCAGGAGAGGCCGCGGGTTTATTTTCCACCCGAATAAAATATACGTAGACGCTCCTTTTATTTTAGTTGCTTTTCAATGCGAAATGTGTTAATGAAGCCTTTTTATACCAGTGTAAACATCAAGGTTGAATCAATAACGGGTCAATAATGTTTGGACTGGTTTTCTCAAGATTTTAGCAGTTAATGAAAAGCTGCACAAACACAGCTGAATCAGAACTAATATAAAAAGATCACAGACATGTGGCTCTGAATGATGTTGATCTGAAGAAGAAAAAAAAGCTAGAAGTGCTTTTATATATATATATATATATATATTACATCAGAAGAGAGAGTGGCGCACAACGCTTTAGTGAAGTGGTTTACGTCACAGTCAGGGAGGCGAGCCGCTGACCTTATCTGACGCTGCAGACGGTGTGCCGAGGCCGACGTCGCTCAGATCAGGCAACAGAGAGACGAGACGTACCCTCAGCCAAGTCCCCGAAAATGACCAAACTGGTCATTGTAAAGACATACAATGTCCCTATGTGCTTATTGCATTAATGCCTCAAGGTGCAAGAGCAAAGGATGCACGGTTTTTAAAAGTATTAACACAGAAAAATCTGTGAAGAATGTGGTGTGTATTTACTATTAACAGGCAGATTTAAGACTTAAAAAAATTCTTATTTGTAAAACAAGAAGTGAGACAGACATCTTTTAAGAATAATAACACAATGCAAAAGAAGGATCAGTTTGTAAAAAGAAAATAAAGAAAAATATTGTCAATCAAAATATCTTTGCGTCTTTCAGCTGGTATCTTGAAGATTTATCCTCGTTCTTCACGGCTTCAAGGATGGAAGCCCTTATTGCCAGCAGCCTAAGTTTTAATGGTGTTTTTGCAAAAGAAGGCCTCGCAGATTTGTTTGAGAATAATAAAAGAACATTGAAGAGCAGTTGGAGGTAAAACATTAAGGTCAAATGTGATGGATGCTTTTTTTAGGTGTTTACCTGAAATAAATGCAGCATGAAACTCGGGTGGTGTGTGGGTTACACTGGGCTTCATTACTCTGGGTTTTGTTGTTTTAGGGTCAGTGGTGGGAAGTAACGAAGTACAAGTACTTCGTTACTGTACTTAAGTACAGTTTTCGTTTACCTGTACTTTACTTAAGTAGATTTAATAATGGATACTTTCTACTTTTACTCCACTACATTTTACAGTAAGTATCTGTACTTTCTACTTCACTACATTTCTACAGAACCGTCGCGTTACTCGTTACATCCACGTCGCATTGAGCTTTTTGTTCGTTAAAATGTGATGTTCAGGGACTTAAGGTGGCGCCGTAAAATCCAAGCAATGACTTACTGTCACCCATTTCCTCCACCTTTACTCGCACGCGGAGCTCCAGACATGCGCAGTGGTGGATATCCGTCTAATCGTCAGTAATAGCGCTGCATAAACCATGAGATATGGTGACATGTAAAATCAGCAACGCTTCGCTTTCACAGACGGTGGGGACTTCGTGCAACTTTAAGCCTTGCACGAAGGAAAGCTTAAAAGGTAAGATCTGTGGACGTGATGCTAGCAAAGCTAGCTGTACTGACTGAGACACATGATGCATCTGCGATGAAAAAAAAA